CCTCATTTTTACAAATTGTTATCAATCGCATTAGTTCTTTAAAACCTTGGGTATCTTGGCAGAAAGGTAGTAAATAAATTCAGTGAATAAATAATAATTAAAAGATAGACTGTCAGAGCAGCCATCATCCTGTAAATGCACTGGGGGGGAAGGATGTTGTCCTTTGGTGTCTCCAGATGTCAACAATCCAAGATCTTGTCTTGGTCTTGTCTGCACAATGAAAGCAGCAGCCAGTCCCTTTATCAGGGTACCTTTCACTTCCTGAGGAGGCCTGTCTGTGCTTGAAAACAGAGTCGGTCCTTCAAGCAGCCAGGAGGGCTCCGTGGCTCTTGCCCAGTTCTCGGCTGACCTCTGTGGCTTTCAATTAGGTGGCTGGATATTTATGAAACTCTCGGCGGCCGAGGGAAGATTCCTCACCGGCTGGCTTAATGGGCTGCCCGCTCCTTGCTGCCACGCAGCGCAGGGCTAGCAGTCCAATCTATTCTGTAATCACGTTCAGCTGCCAGCGCAGTGGCTGAGGCTGGCAGCGCATTCTATTAAGAGGTGCCACTTTTGCTGAGAGAGAGAGCGGGTTTTATGTTACCATAAATTGTCAACAGTTGGTCCTGTGCCTGTGGAGGAAGGATCGATACCCAGCAGAGGGAGAAAGTGCTGAGAAAGGGGAAGAGAGAGATGCTAATTAGGCCAGGATTTAAGAGACCAGGGGTGCAAGTGACAGCACTTAAACAGGGGATAAATTATGGGAAGCCTCTGCCCTTCAGGCTGGGTGTACTCAATCACAAACACAAACAACACAGAGGCACCACAGGGGGGTTGTAGGAGAGCACACAGAGCGCCACCGAAGCCAGCGACAGGGCTAGCATCTCCCTACACTAGAGCACAAAGCACCCCTCTCTCTGGGAGAGAAGGAAAAGGTGAGCTCAGGTAAACAGGTGAGGCTGTTCACAGGAACGGAAGTGGGGAGAGGTTGCAGCACCCCCTGGAAGTCCTCAGGTAGCTTATTCACACATGGATGGCCATCACCGAGCGATTCAAGCAGCACCCAAGTGCTTCCTGGAGAGGTTGTTGTGCAGGGAACCCCCAAAGGCCAGTTAGAGCAATAGTTGGGGGCCTCCATCAATCTCTCAGGAAACAGCAGTTATGGGATGAGATGAGGCGCTATAAAAGGCTGCTGCAGGGCCAGAGGCAAGGAGTTCTCCCCGGAAGCTGGTGGTGGTCACAGCATCTCAATATAGCTGCTGCCATGGACTTTGGACCTCCAGCCACCCCCGGGGGGGAAAGAAGAGAGAAGACTCTCAAGAATTTTGCTCCTAAAGACAGCCTCTGTCAACAGGCTGCCCTCCAGACTCCTCCTGGACCCCTGGGGCTGGCGGTTGATGGGAGTGTTCAACAAGAACTTGAGAGAGACCAAGGTTCGAATCCCCCACTCAGCCACAAAGCTTACTGGGTAGCCTTGGGCCAGTCACTGCCTCTCAGCCAAACCTACCTCACAGGGTTGTTGTGGGAATTAAAGGAGGGCCATGTTTACCACCTGGAGCTCCTTGGAGGGAAAGGTGGGGTGTAAATGCAATAAACAGATAAAGGAATTTGGAGGGCACCCAGAGAGTGAAGACGGTTCTAAAGTCCTGGAAGCCACCCCTGAGACAAAGGAAGAGGAGGGTTATACAGTGGTACCTCGGGTTACAGGCGCTTCAGGTTACAGACTCCGCTAACCCAGAAATAGTACCTCGGGTTAAGAACTTTGCTTCAGGATGAGGACAGAAATCGCGCGGCGGTAGTTTGACCGCAGTGGGAGACCCCATTAGCTAAAGTAGTACCTCAGGTTAAGAACAGTTTCAGGTTAAGAATGGACCTCCAGAATGAATTAAGTTCTTAACCCGAGGTACCACTGTGCAGCATTCATACAGCACACAGAGAACCAAAGCTCTCCCGGTGCCAGCAACCCTCTGCTCTAAGGATACATCAACCACCACCACCCCCCAAGATTTCATGTTATTTGACAGCAATGCTGGAGCCTGCAGTAGCTTGCCCACCCAGCTGCCTCCAGGCTCTTAACCTCCTCCAATGACCTAGATTTGATCCTCCCCACCCCACATCTGCCACACAAACACACACTCCCCTCCCTTCCTCTGAGAACCAATGCCCGTCCAGGAGACAATGCAATCAGGAAGAGAGATCCAGGGTCTCCATTGCTCACATGGGACTCTCTCCCCACACCCTCTGCCGCCCCGCCGCCTCTCCTTCCAGCAGCTCCTGATCCAATAAGGAGCTATAAAAAAAAAGACCCTACCAGAATTGGAAAAATATTGGCCAATATAATAAACAATAAAACTATATTAGCTCTAATTTGGCATTGCCCCAGGCAGTATTAATATAGCTATAACCCAATCACTTATAAATAAATGATGGCCTTGCACTTTAATATGACATCTGTCCCGGCAATTTCCATATGTGGCATAAAATAATTATGAGCTTGGAAATGAAATCAAAACAGGAAGAGGTTTGCCCCGCTCTGTGGCTGCAGCCAAGGTGAAGGGAAGGGGCAAGCGGCAGCAGACGGCGGCCAGCTTAGTCCAAATGCCAACTCTGGAAATGTATATCTGCGTGCCAGGAGGTGCCAACCTCTGGGGGCTCTTTGGGATTTTTGATTAAGTCCCGTGGGAGTCACCCCCTCTGGTCACTTCTTGTCTCCCCTCCCCACTCCAAGAGATTTGTATCCAGTTCTAGGCATCACAGTTTAAGGAGGATATTGACAAGCTGAACAAGGTGTGCAGAGGAGGGTGACCAAGATGATCAAGGGTCTGGGAACCAAGCATGATGGGCAACGGTTGATGGATTTGGGGTGTTTAGACTGGAGAAGAATGAGAGGTGGTATGAGAGCCATCTTCAAATATCTGAAGGGCTGTCACGTGGAGGAAGGTGACAAAGCTTCTTTTCTGCTGCTCCAGATGGACCCAATCCCATGGATTCAAATGACGGGCAAGAAGATCCCAACTAAGCATCAGGAAGAGGTTTTTAAACAGAGGTTGGATGGCCATCTGCCAGGGATTCTTAGCTGTGATTCCTGCACTGCTGGGGTTGGGCGTGTCCTTTCTAGCTCTACAGTTCTGTTTCTAAGACAGAAAGTCTGCACCACTTTGCTTTTCCAAGAGTTCAGATCCAGTAAAAGTAATTTGAGCCTTGAAAACCCAAAGGGGTTGAAAGAGGAAACGGGAAGGAGGGTCACTCTTCCAACTTCCCTCTTTAGCTCTATGTACTTTTTCAGGAGAGGAAGCTGCCCACCCTCACCCCCTGTGATGGCCAATGGGTCAGTGGAAGCGGAGGCTCAGAGTCTGTGCTCTATATTAATCATATACCTGGAGAAGAGGATGCCATGTTAATTCCCTGCACTGGGCACCAGAACACATCAACATCATCCTTAATGTAACATTTGTACCCTGACCTAGGTAACAGCCATAAAGAAATAACATGGGACCCTCTTTTTCTCCCCTAATTAATATGCAGCACAGTCACCCTGAATGCGCCTTCTGGTTGAAATCAGAAGATGGGCCAGAGCAATACACCTACATCTTCTGTTCATTCCAAGCAGACAGCATCTCACAGCTTAGATCAGTCTCCCACTTCAATGCCCTAAAGCCACCCCTTCACTTGCCTTGCCTTCACTCCTGGCTTGACTCAGAAACCAGCACAGAAATTGTTCATTCATTACCATCACAAGGCTGGGTACAGATTCAGACAATGGTGGGCCCTTGGGACCACCTATGAAACCTGCAAGACGGCCTTCAGCAATCTGGTGCCCTCCAGATGTTTTGGACATGTCCCATTCACCCCATATGCTGGGCTTGCACAGGGTGCCACAAGGAGGAAACTGCTGGAGGTAGATTTTTGGGGTGGGATAAAAGCATTGCAGAGCTCACTGAGCTTAGAAAAGGAAGTGTGTCCCCTAACAAGTTTGGCCATAGCTTTGTTCTTGCCCGCTGTGGGTGGGCGCTATGGTTTGCATGGACTCCACTGCATGCCTGTGTGGTGCAGCAGTCAAGGGTGTTGGACGCGGGACCAGGGATACCAGGGTTTGAATCTCCACTTGGCCATGAAGCTCTCTGGGTGACCTTGAAGGCCAGTCACTTTGCAGTCTACCTCGCAGGGTTGCTGCAAGGATAAAATGTATGCCACCTTGAGCTCCTTGAAGAAAAAGGTGCAATATAAATGTAAAAAGAAGAAGAAATCAATAATATCCAGCCCCATCCCACACTGCATAAGCCTGGCACACCAGGAAAGGTCTCTTCTGGGAAGATGCTTGGAAAGCTACGAGTCAGGGATTTGTTAGCTGCAATTCCTGCATTGAAGGGGGTTCAATTAGGTGACCCTTTCAGCTCTACAATTCTATGATTCTATGAGTGGATGCACCAGTTGGCAGCTCCTTCTATTGGCAGGCAAGTGTGCCCCACTCAGACCTCTTTTCTTCTTGCATTATTCCCTCAACTCATCCTAAACTGTGGCTCTCCATTTGTTGTTGGACTTTGATTCCTATCAGCTACAGCCAGCTCTGAGTCAGTGTACAATTCCTGGCCTAGTAGACAGCCAGCTAGCCAGCCAACACTTAGGAGAATCATCTCTCCATCTCTAGTGGTGGCACAAAGGCATGAGCGCCATCTGGCGGCAAGGAAGAGGCTCAGGCTTAAGAGAACCATAGAAATGGTGTGGTTGTTAAAAGTGTTTACCAACATGTCTCCCCACCCACCTTGGCCACCCCCCCCCCAAATATACCACACACAGTGGGGGTTCCCCAGCTAGTGCCTCCCACCACTCCTATGCATCCATGACATCCCAGCAGTCTCAGTCCCTTGTGTCTCCAGTGATACCCAGCCTGAAACCCTGGAGAGCCACTGTTACCCATCAGTGCAGACCAGATGGGCCAGTGGTCTGATATGGCAGCCTGCTCTGCTCAGAGAGAAGGTGCTACAAAATCTGGTGGAGAAAAAAAACACATTCAGGCAATGCCCTGTAATAAATTTATTGTACTTTATTACATTTTCCCACTTTTAAATCATCCAATACCTTGTATCCAAACTCTTCTTCCTGACAGGAAATGATTTTTTAAAACATAAAAATATAAATTCTGCATATTAAAAGTGCATACAAATAAATAAAAGGCATTGACACAGTCTCATGCACTTGCCGTCAAATAAGTTAAAACCCTCTTATGGTACATAGTAATGGTTCCACCCCAAGAAGAGACACAGCCTCCCTCCCAGAGTACTGTACAGTTTTAAAAAAAACTTAGAAATTCTTGATAGGAATAAGGGGGTGAGAGAGAAAGAGAGAGAGAGAGGAGGGAGGAAGCATCCTGTGATGTAACATGCAACTCCAGCTGTCAGATAGGAAAGCGTGTCCAGTGTTTGAGGCTCACAGTTTTTGGAATGGCACTGAAGACTCAGTTTTAGCCAAAGGTGAGACGAGGCACGACTGGTGAGCAGCAGCCGAGGAAATGAATTCTCTGGATACCACTTCCAGTTCTGGGGGCCCAGGATGCAAATGCAGCAAGTGCCACATTTAGTTTAATAATAAGAAGAAGAAGAAGAAGAAGAAGTTAGAAAAGGCAAGAGGGAAGACTTTCCAAATTGCCTCTTGCAACCAGCCCCCACGTGCTGGGTTGCAGAGAATTCATTTTGGACCCAATCAAACCATTTCAGCACCCAGCATTCAAATCAGGTTGGCTTAATGCTTGTAAAAAGGGAAAAAAGTGGGTGTTGGAATTTACATTTCATCCTTCATTCTGTCAAATCCAACCCCCTGCATGCTAATGGATTTTTGGTTTGTTGTGGGTTTTTTTACTGTTTTTTTTAATAATTAAGGAAAGCCATGTAGTACTTCCATCTCACCGCAGATTAGAACTAAATTTCAGTTGCTTCTGCAGATAATGTTGGACCCCTGACAAGTTGCTGCGGATTAACAGGCAAATGACAGCAAAGCCAAAAAGAGGATTGCCCTTAACATGATTTGAACTGGCATTTCAAAACAAAAACGCTTCCTTGACTGCTGATGAGAGCTTCCAGAATGGTGGAAAAACCTCCTCCTCTTTCCCTTGCTCCCCTTCCTCCTCCTGTGCAGGAGCTGCCTGGGAGCTGTGGGTGGTGCCGATTTAAGGAGCAACGCCTCTCTTTGCAACAAAGCTCCGTGGAGCCTCGTTCCCAGAAACCAGAGGAGGTTCCTCTCAGACCTTCCCAGCTCTGCAGCCAGCTCTTCCTTGCACCAAAACGAAACTAAGGGGGACTGGAGAGTCCTGCTTTGCCACCACTCACCCCTCCAAAAAGCTGGCTCCAGAGAAGCTGTGTTATGGTGGGGAAGGAGCCCTTCTGCCATCACAGATATCTGCTCCTTAAAGAGGCTGCCAGCTGCTAGCAGCATCCCTCAAATGGCTGGGAGCCCCTTTGAAAACAGCAGGTTGCTCACATCTGGAAACAAAAATGCACCCTCAGAAAGAACAGGGAGAAATCACCTGCAACCTTTTAAATACTCCACAGTAACTTCCGTACCCCCTCCCCAGAAACATCAGTAAACAAAAGAGCTGTACGAAGGAGAGGGTTGTGGGTGCCAGAAACTGGGACCCTTCGGCCCTCGGGCTGCTCCAGGGGTGGGTTGAGAACTCCAGTCTAAGCTTAGGTGGGCATCAGTTGGGCAGCAGCAGTGACAGGGGCAGCCTGGTTTAGCTTAGCTTTAGCTGCTTGCATAGTTAACATGGTCATGCGTGAGCGGGGGGGGGGCAAAGGGAAGGGCCATGCATGTTACCTTCATTGTGGGCTTTTGGGGGAGTGGGGGCAAGAGAGATAAGTGGTCAACCATGCTAAAGAAATTCAGCACTGCCAAGCAGAGAAGAGCCTACAAAACTAGGTTAAATGTGTCTGGAACATGGAGGTCCACTCTCTACCTAAAATGATTAGTCCGACTCAGTCGCATTGAGCCATAGATACATCTGAAAAGACAGAAGCAAAAAGTGAGGTGCTTTGCCATGGCTACAAAGAGTGGCTGTTGGCACCATCTCGCCCACCGAGTACAAGCAACATGAAGTCCAAGGTGCCTCTATAATACAATCCCTTGGATATGTGCTTAGAATGTGCATACTAATTATAAACACTCTCCGAAAATCTAGCCCCAAAGGATGGGAAGCCTTCCGAGATGCAGAACTCAACCTTCCCGCAACTGGAAGGGTGACTAGGTGTCATTCATGGAATTAGGAAGAAACAGGCTTTTGGGCCATTTGAATGGAGCTGGGTGTGCAGGGGAGCCAGGGAGGGGGGCTCAATTTCCTCCCTATTCAGGGGAGCCTTGAATTAGTTACTCCACCAACCCCTACTCCCAAAGAGAACTGCAGAGCTGCATGTCAGGAGAGGCCTAAATTTAATCCCACGGTCCTCCTGGATCTAAACCAACTTGTCTGAAGGGAGATGAAATTGTGTCCTTTCTTTAAAAAGAAGAGACAGCGCTAAAGGCCTAGATGTCCGCTGAAGACCAGAGGGTTGCATCTCTTCCTAAATGAGGGGAGATCTGCTGGCCAATGAAAAACTGGCAACCAGCCCAACACAAGGAAGTGGCCAGGCCAAAGGAACAAAAAGGAAACCCCACCTCCACAAAGCTTAGCAAGGTCCCTTTGACAAAAGGGCAATGAAAGCAATCGGTCACCCCCACACGTACCACTCAACACACACACTGCCAGTGGGGCAGGAGAAGGGGTCAAGGTTCATATCCCAGCAGCAGGGCCAGATTCACCAAGGCTAGCCTAAGGCATCCTGTGCCCATGGATCTCTCATCATGTTTCATGGGACATGCTCGTCACCCCCCAAGACAGTCCTTTCCCCAGGACAGAAACCAGACATTTTTCTTCTAACTGTAGTGCCTCACTACTTGAGAAAGAGGAACATCTAAAAGCAAAGGGGGTGAGCTTGGCAACCTAAGAACTGAGCACACAAATGCTCCTGTTTTAACCTACAGGTGGGCACAAGGGGTGGGGGTGGGGAGAAGGAGATGTGTTGTTGCCCCATAGCAGCCAAACTGCAGGCAGTGTGAGGAGGGGTTTTGCCAGGTGTCAGTTCCCATGGGGCTGCAGCCTACCTGTTCACAGCTCGGCAACTGGAAACACAACCCAGGTATAAGACGAATGCCTCGCCTGCCACCTTTCAAGGCTGCCTGTGGCGCTCAGAAGCAGACCCAAAGACCCAAGATCCCTTGTTCCTAGGTGAGGAGGAGGAGATGATAACCTGGCTGTGCAGTGGGATCTACCACTTAGGGCCGTGGCAGTGTCAGCTCCAGCTGAACAAAGACAGGCCCAAGGCAGTGCAAAGGGAATAATAAACCATGGAAGGAGCTGCTGCATTCAGGGGCTGAAGTCTTGTTAACTAAACCTTCAAACAAGGCAGAGGCTTCATGCCTCAGTGAGATGACATGGCCAAGGGAAGGAACCCATCTGCCGCCCAGCATTAAAAAAGACAAAAGGCACAGCTTGTCAGCGACGCCTCTGCAAAGTTCCCTGCTCAAGCCGAAGGCTGCAGGAGGCAAGCAGGCTGCCAACTCAGGGGCTGAAGCAGATGTGGGGAACCTCTGGGCCTTCAGAAACTGCTGAACTACAACTTCCATCACCCCAGCTGTTCAGTCATACTTGCCAGGGGCTGAAAGGAGTTGCAGCTCAGCATAATCTGGAAAGCCAAAGGTTCCCCACACCTGTGCTGAAAGAAATGGCAACAAGCAGGTGGGCACTGTAAGCTCAAAATCCACTGAAAGATCATGGGAACAAGAGCAATGAGTGAGGGAGGGAAGAGTGCATGGAGGGAGTCATTGTACAGCTTGCCTAACAGTGAGGCACAAGGGTGCCCCCCTCCCAAGGCTTCAGAGTGGCCATTCATTGCCAAAGCCACATGGCAGGTGAGGAGCAAGAAGAGTGAGGACCAAAGGATTTGAGGAAGGGCAGCAGGGGCCTAGTTCCAGCTAGGACTTACAAAAGCTTAAATGCCTCCTTCCTCCAGCATGGACTGCAGCAACAACTGATCCACAGCTCCGTAAAAAGAATGTGTGTGTGTGTGCAGTCAAGCATTCTTCCATGTGGACCACAGAATATGCTCATCACACACACACACACACAACCTCCTTCCACCTAACCTGTGATGCAGCGATTGCTGCAGGGCAGGAGGTCAGACTAGAAGACCCTTTGGGTCCATTCCAATTCTACAATTCCATGAAGCATCCCCTTCCACTCTGCAGAAGTTCCAGGCCCAACCTGCTGATTTCCAGGCTGCTAACTGGTCCCTCCCTCTTTCGAGAAGACACCTCTGAACAGAGAAGAGAGTCAAGCAGGACAGACTCTTTCAAAAAACGAAAATTCCAAAGATACAGAAATCTGCTGGAATGGGAAAAAAAATCAGAAACAGACAGACACACTTAAAAGCAGACTTCTCTGACGTACACACATACACCCCTCTATGAGAGAGAATGCACCTTTCCCTCCAGAATCTTCTGTTCCCTCCAGTACTGGCTGAGCGCTTACCTGAGAAATAACATTAGCGTTGAGATATTGCCCTTTAAGAAGCTTGGGAAATGGGGTGCCCGGGGGGGGGGCAGAAGGCGGGGGAGGAGACATGGCCTGGGGAGGAGGGACACACAGCAGAACAGGACGATCGTCTTGCTTTTCACGGTTTCCCTTTGCAGCTCACAGAGCAAGGCTACAGCCTGCTCAGTGACACACACACTGCAAGGAAGGGACAGAAGCGGTAGCTTTGCAACATGGACACAGCTGGCCATTGACATAATCCAGAGTCCCTCTTCAGAGAGAAAAGTGGTAAGGCTCCCCAAGAAGGCTGCAGTTCTGCTGTGGGGTTGAGGCAGAGGGAAGAGAGAAGATGATGACAATGTCCTTTGGCGCGCACCCCCCCCCTCCCCACAAGCCCGCTACAAAATACCAGCGGCAGCCTGTAGTTATTTGGTACGATGGCGGAGTCGAAAGGCGCTTGAACAGTAGTCAAGTTTTCTTCAAACACGTTAGGCACATGAACAAAAAGAAGCAAAGGAGGAAACCAACCCAATTGGATTGCAGGAGGAGGAGGAGGAGCAGCAGCAGCAGTAGCAGCAGCAGCAGCCAATCACTGAGATTTCGAAGAGGCTGGCGGCGGCCGTGCAGAGGAGGGCATGCTGGGAGGAAGTTTGCGCAAGGCTTTGTCGGCTGCCTGCTTGCCACTGCTGGGCGACTGTGAGGGGTTGGCCTCCAGCTGGGAAGACTTGGATTTGCAGTTCGTGAGCAGCGAGTGTTTGGCAGGAGAGGGGTTGTCTTTTGCAGAAGCCGGGGTGGCGTTCGAGGGGAGGGTATTCGGAGGCTGGGAGGGACTGCCGCTGCCGCTGCCGCCGCCACCACTACCACTCTTCTCCAGCTTCTCCTCAAGCAAGTTCTTGCTGGCAGCTTTGGAGGAGCTGCTCGCCATCTTTTTCGACAGCATGGTGGTCTTGCCTAGGTCGGCCGACCTCCGGCTTTCCTTCTGGCGCAGGGCAGACTTGAAGAAAGAAAGCCCCTTTTCTTCCGACTTGCTGTCCCTCCTCAGGCTGGCACGGGGGGCGCCTGTGGTGGGCGAACGGAGACTGGCCATGGAGGAGCTGCGCACGTACTTGCTGTCCGGCCTCCTGCCCTCGCTCCGCGACTGGCTGATCCGCGGGGAGCCCGTCCGCGAACCGGTGGTAACGCCAGCCTTGTCTGAGCTGAGGCTGAGCTTGGAGCCCTCCCTGCTGAGGCTGTGCTCCGAAGTCCTGTTTTTGCTCGTGGGGGTGTTGTGCCCCCGCACAGACGACCCCGAGGAGTTTCTTCTCGTCGCGGTGGAGGAAGAGGAGGAAGCAGGTTTTTGCTTCTGATGCTCAGCAGAGGTGTTACTGGCAGCCTCTTGGCCCTTTGAGCCAGCCTCCTTCCTGCCCTGCCCAGAGGGGGCAGGAGAGCCGTGCCGCCCACTAGCCCGGCCAGAGTTCAGCTTGCTCCTGGTCCGGGACCCCTTCGGCAAACTCTTGGAGGGAAGGAGCGGGGCTGCCGGTTGGCACGACACTGGGGAATCTGTCCTGCCTTTCCTGGAGCTTCTGTCTGACTCCAATGTGTCTTTGGGGTGGGCTGCCTTTTGGGGGCTGCTGTCTGCCTTGGACATTCCACTGAAGCTTCTCCCCTCCTTGACTGGAGAGCTCTCAACAGAATCACTCTGGTCAACAAAAGCGATCTGGTTGTTGTTATCGAAAGGATCCAGGGCGGGGCAGTTCCTGTCTGCCTGCGACAGAGTCTTGCTGTAGGAGTCCGCGCTCGAGCCTGGCTTTCGCCCGGGCGCTTCGTCTCTGAAGACGCCCTCCATGACTGCCAGGGGAGCTCTGCCTGCCGTGGGGTGCTCCTGCCGGCCGCTGCTCTCGCTGGACTCAATGTGGCTTCCAGAGAGACTCCTCAGGCTGCTAAAGCATGAGGTGGAGGCTTTGTCATCCGCAGACTCCCCAATCCTCTCAAGGGTGGAAGCCGAGCTGTGAACCGGAGAGTCCCCAGAGAAGCGGGAAGGCGAGCTGGAGCGCATCTGCAGCTTCGCCGACAGCGACCACGAGGGGCGGATCCCGTTCTCGCTCACGGCCAAGGGGCTGGTCACAGAGGACCTGGAAGACAGGCTCTGGCGCTGGACACTCCTCACAAAGGGGCGGGTGGAAAAGCCACCTGTGGAGCACAGAGGAACATGATACCCAAATACACAAACAGAGCATGGACACATGCACAAGCAAGGAAGCCATCCTAAAATGCATTTCACTGATCCTTCCCCGCCCCCCGCCCCCGCTTTTATAATTGCTTTCATACGTTGAGTTTGTGTGGCTCTGTCTATTTCATACAAGAAGCTACAATGCGTTTGTTTCAGGGGCACATTTCATTCTCCGATGTTTTAATTTGCATACTGTGTTTTGTCACAAGCTGCTTTGCAACCCAGATGCGGTGAATAGCAGAGCGCACATTTTAAAACAAATGAAACACACACACACACAAACACACTCCTCCCGTTCTGGAAACTGTGCCAACATGGTAACTTCCTTGCCAACCTATCAAAGCTCTTTCATGGGCTGAGAAATCAGGAGACCCTCCCCTGAAGGACACCCTGCTGCCAGGGGACAACTGAGGGTGGCAGCAGCAGCAGCCAAAGCAATTCTCAGAAGGCAAAACATCAATCTAGAGTAAGTTCCTCCCGTCTGTGTGCTGAATACCGAGGGCCCAATGCAGCATCCATAATTCAGAAAAGCACGAATGCTGTCCACACCTCTTTCATTTGCTGGCAGGAGACAGGTGTGCTAGCACAAAGGTCACAGGGAACTTCCCCACTAGCCTCTGAGGAACGGTGCTGGGAAGCTGTTCATTCTGCAGGAGACATTCTCACTGCTCTCCCAGCTTTGAGCAGAACACTGCAAGGCCAAGGATGACCCAGGGGCAGAAGCTAGAGAAGGGGAAACTTCTCGGAAGAGGATACCTGCTCCCATCAGACATCAGAGGACAGACATACCTAAGCGCATGCCGGCACTGAGATGTGGAGAGAAACAAAGGCAGCGAAGACAAAGACCTGAAAATACCAGCAACATCTCTTTCTCCCTGGTTTCTGCTCATTTTCTGGAGGAAGGAATCCCCTGTTGCTGCTGGTTTTTCTGCCTCAGCACCCCTCTTCACAGTCCCTCAGGCAAAGCTGGTGACCCTCAGGGTGGCTGAGCTGCAGAGGAGGAACCCAGTGCTCTGCAAGGGCTCCCCTGCCATCAACATTCAAAGTGAGGTGTGGCAGAGCCACTCACCTACTGCACGCAGCCCTCACACTCACCGTCATCTTCGCTCCTTTCTCCCATCAGCTCCACGGACTCCGAGAGGGAGGCTAGGGAAGTGCGCCGGGAGGAGGCCGCAGAGGCAATGCTGGGCTGCTTGCTGCCTGGGAGTCGACTCACCCAGTGCTCACACAGAGAGGAGCTGGTGGAGCCTGTGGAAGCAGGAGGAACAAGTGGGTAGCAAGAAGCTTTCCTCTCATCATAACACTAGAACCCAAGGGGGTCCTTTAGTCAAGATGAACGTTGGGAGATTCAGTACAAACAAGAGAAACAACTTTTTCTTCACACGGCACATAACTAAATTATGGAATTTTCTACCACAGGAGAAAAAGATGGCCACTAACTTGGATGCCTTTAAAGTGGGGATTGGACAAATTCATGGAGGAGAATGAGGCTACCAATATGGCTACTAGTCTCCATAGCTACCTTCAGAACCAGAACCCCAGTTTCCAGCAGCAGGAGAGGACATCTTTCCCTGGTGTCCTCTTGCCTGTGGACCCTTCTCAGGGAAGGCACCTGGTTGGCCACAGTGGGATACAGGTGGGCCCTCTTGGGCCTGGCCCACTTGCAGCCAGGCTCTTCTGGTGTTTCTGTGGAAGCTGCAAAACCAGCAGCTGCTCCAGGCCATTACCTGCCACAGAGCTGTTGGCCGACCAGGAGGGAATGGCTGTCCGCCTCTGGTAGAAGAGGATATAAGCCGTCTGCTTGCACACCTCGTTCTCAGCCAGCTGCTGAACCTCACTATCATCGAAGCAGTACCACAGGCCATCAATGGAGTTCTTGCAATAGGCTGCGAGAGAAGGTGGCAGAGTTAGTTAGGGGGAAGGTGAGCAAGAGGGAGCCCTGCTGGGCCAGCAGCCGGAGCATGCCGGGGTCTCCGTCACCCAGTCATGGCTCTCCTAAGACTCCACCACCCCAAAAAGATAGGAAAGAATTAAACTGCTAGACTGTGCTGAGGGATGGGGGGCAGCATGTTTTGCCCCCTAAGGCCACCATGTAAAAAGACCCTTAAGGAAGCGCACCACCACTACGAGAGGGGGGCTGCTGGAGAGGCTCAGCTGAGCAGGCAAAGGCATTCTGAGCCATTGGCCATCTGCCCACTTGTTAACATCTTTGTCAGCAGAGCAAGTCATGGAGGGTGCAAGGCAGGAGCAGAATGGCAGTGAGCAGAGCCCAACCGGCAGCGCAGCCCAGTCACCTGTGTAGTGCCCGCCCTGCATGGTGCCATGGTGATTGCACACAGCATACAAGTCATAGACAAAGTCTTCTGGGTCTCTTCCCAGGCCGTAGGGGCGCCTCCAGGGGGACCAGTGGGATGGCAGGCTCCAGCTGCTCTGACTTCGCTTGACCACATGTGGCGTCATGTCCAGACCAATCAGAGGGAACCTGACCATGTTCTGAAGCTTCATCCTTCTGTCTCCTTCCTGTTGAAAGGGGAAATGCAGGTTGCAACCAGCACAGAGAAGTGTGTGCTGGAGGCGCCACATCAGCACCCAGCACACACAACTCCCCTCCAGCCCCAGAGGCTGCTTGGGCAAAGGCAAGAATGAAACCATGCCAAAGAGGAGGAGTTCAGCACACGCAAGGCTGGCCCTTTTAGTTGATCAGACAGGGCTCTCCTCACAGCGGAGGAAGCCACAATGCCCCTGCATGAAAACAGCCCACATGACTAAGGAATCACTGGGCCACTGCAGTAATCCAAGCAGAGCCCTGGCTCCTGAGTTCCCTCCAGCCCAGCAAGCAAGCCTCCTTTCACCTGTCGAAAGCGCTTCAGGTGAATGATGAGGACGTCAGGCAAAGTCCAAAGGCTCAGCGTGATGCTTCCTTGCTGCAGCTGCTTACAGTGGGGGCAACGCCATGCATCGTCCGGGGCCAGCTAACAGCAAAGAGAAGAGGGTGCTATTAGACAGATAGGCACACACACACACACCCCTGGCATATGCCATGAACATCCACTCTTTATAAAGGGAGGAAGAAGATAAACACAGGAAATGCTTCTTGCCCTGCATCATAAGACCACCACAGCAACATGTTTAGTTATCGCCTCAATATACTCCATTCTAGTTGTTATCACAAGTATTCCTATGGGACAACTGTATGTTTTATACAACGAACAACAGCAGGCAAAGCAGCTGTGCCATGACCAGCTCCCAGCCCAACATGTGCCTGCCACACTTTTAGGAGACAGAAAGCCAAAGCAGACCAATCACACATGGAAGAGGCAGCCTTTGAAGGCACACAGAACTACGAGGGTCTCTCTGACCACTCATGACACAACGAGGGACCTCCTGGCCATATCCAGGAAGGGATATTTGGGGAAGAGCCATAACAGTAGAGCACCTGCTTTGTACACAGATATCCCAGGTTCAATCTCCAGTAATAGCATCTCCAAAGGCGGCTGGGAGAGAGAGACCCCTGCCTGAAACCCTGGATAGCTGCTGCTAACCAGCATAGACAATGCTGAGCTGAATGGGTACAACTCGGAATAAGACTGCTTCCTGTGCTGCTACTGACAGGTCACTGAATCTCTCACCTGTTCCTCTTTGGTGTAGAGCTGGAAACACTGTGATAAGGTGCAGGACTGAGGCTGGTGGTGGAGCTCCCTCTGCTGGCGGACACTCTCGGCATCCGGGATATATTCATCCTCTGTGTTGACGAACAAACTGCAACAAGGAAATGCAACATTTAACAATTCCTGTGCTTGCAGGCCGACTAGCAAAACACACAAGTGGGGTGAGGCTGCCTGCTAACCTTCTTGGGAAGCACTCTTGGGCAGGTGACTGGCAGGTTGTAAATTAATCTACTGAGTGTGCAGAAGATAGATCGGAATCTACCGTGAAATCCCCAGGCAATTAGATCAGAAAAGGTTTCTGACTCCACTGTTTAACAATAGCAGCAGCAAAATGACTCATTACCCCAATTAATACTACATACATGACGAGAGCTTGGAGGAACCATGAGTGGATTTGCATGTAGAAAGACTGTGAGTTCTGTTCAGTTCCGCTATGTTGTAAAAACATACAAGCAATAAAAAAATCCTCGCCTCAGAGTTCTATCTTTTGCAGAGGATGCCTTCTGCACTCAGCTCATGTTGGAGAATCTCAGGGTTATGGTAAAAATGGATCCCACAAGCTTTGAGGTGTGCCCAGCCCTGTTCTGGGAAGCAACTAAGGACACACACACAAGAACCTGCTTAGGCAAGCCTAGAGCAGCAGGAAGTCCCTAGAGCAGCAGTCATGTGGGAAAGGGAGTTTCAAACCACAGCCTGCCAGGAGCCCACCCCAAAGTCCCAAATGGAACATGATGCTTACTAGTCTTTTGTCTCCTTGTCCCACTCCACAACCAGCTTCACATGAGGAGTTCCGCCTTGCCCACATGACTTCAGGGCCCTGCAGAAAACACACCACAATCACTCAAAGTCTTTCAAAAAGAAGCAGTGCGTAAGCTAGTCACTAGCACCTTTCTTTCTCTCTCACTCTCACCCCCATAAAGAACCTGCCAAACCCATCAAGATATCCCACAACAGGAACCAGCTGAATTCAGGGGCTTGTCCTTCAGACCAAAGGATGCCACCTTTACCAGCCTACTAAAGAAACAATAGCCACTCCATAGGAACAGTTCAAGAGATGACATTACAGGAAAGTTTCCCTCTAGTTTATTCTGCTCCTTATTGGTAGAGCATGAGACTATGAATCGCGGGGTTGTGGGTTCGAGCCCCATGTTGGGCAAAATATCCCTTGGACTAGATGACCCTCATGGTCCCTTCCAACTCTACAATTCTATGATTCTCTCTCCAGGACAAGCAGCAATCCAGGCAGAAACAGCTTGAGAGCAGCCAGCTCCTAGGAGAAGCGAGGCCTGCAGGAGAGCCCAGAAGCTCCATTGGTGCCTGTCAGACCGAAGTAGCTCTCGGCAGGTGAGATGCCGCCCCCTTCCCCACCAGAGTAAAATAAGCAAATCCCCATGCCCTGAGGCCCCGCACCCTCCACAAACAAGGAAACCACACTCACCGCTCCACCATTAGGTGGCACAGAGGCCGCTCTTCCTGAGGTAACAGGTAAGTTATGCCCACAGCGCTGACCACTCGCAAGCTGAACGGACAAACCTACATGGCAGGGGAGATGAGAAGAGCAGTTGCGAGGGGGAGATGGTGAGGAGAGGACAGGTGGGGAAAGAGACTCCTAGTTGGGCACACAGCTGGCATGCACTTGTCCCCAACAGGTGTGCCCACCTGCCCTTTGGCACATGCTCCTCCAGTGCAGCATGGGCCAGAAGACACATATCATCAGCCTGGCTCATCCACCCTGAGCGGGGACTTTTCTCTTCCTCTCTTCGCTCTCCAGCAGATGGAAAGCAAGAGCAGGAACTTCACAAGGCACAACCAGCTGCACTCTTGACAATGAGTTTATTGAGCAACCGGCAATGTAAGCAGCAATATTGCTATTTACTTAGCACCACAATTAGACTGGCTTTTTACAGCAGCAGCTCTCAAATGCACATAGACATGCTGAAAGACAAAGCAAGGTGTAAAGAGGGCCCAGTTCCAGGCAGCCTTACCTGGACACAGGCTGAGGGCCGCAGGTAATACTGCATCTTCTCCAGGATCTCCTTCTGCAGTAGGTCCCAAGGAATCGTCTTCTCCAGATGGAGCACAAAGGGCTGGCCAAATCTGCAGATAAAGAGCAAGGCCATGAAGGGACCAGCAGCTCTTTCTCACTCCCACCATTTAAAATTTTATTTACTTAAGGCATTTCTATGCCGCTTAATCGTTAGCATTTCTAAGCAGAGCACATAAAAAATAAACAGCAGAGAATAAAGCAATAGAAGTTCACCGAAGAATTGTATGAAGCCAAACAGAAACCTTAATAAGCCTGCTGGAATAAGAAAGTCTTTGTTCAGCAAAGAGGCTGCCTGTCTAATTTCAGTTGGGAGGGAAGCTATTGCCTTTGTATTTATTTGTAAACATATGGCCAAAGGAACTATGTACATTTAGCCCAGAGAAAAGGCTCATCCAGGTTTCTGAAGCTCTCTTCAAATCCCTGAAGGGCTGTCATCACACTGAGGGGGGAAATACTGGGGTTACAGCCAACATTAGCCTACTCAGAGGAGACACAGAAAAGGCTCCGTCTTTTGTTCCCACCAATTAAGCCTCCTTTGATGGTGGGATACAAAACAGGGTCTCAAAAGATAAATTCTACCTGTAGGCAGCTTCATACAGGAGGCGGTAAATCTTTCCACTATCTCGGTCTTAAAACAGTTTAGGGCTTGAGTTTACACACATTATTGGTATACAATTCTTGTAAACAACATATCTATTAACCAAATAAAATTAACTTTGTCAAACCTTAACACAAACTGGCTTTATTTTAGTCTAATTTATAGCTTTATTATAGAAGTACATGTAAAAACATAAGCTCCAAAACTGTTAACAGAATTTGGAAATTTTTTAACACAATGGGTAGAGGGGGAAATGGACTAGTTTATAAATTGTACTTTATATTGCTTAATATAACTTATGTATCTATGAAACCTCTTTTAAAAATATGGGAACTAGATATTAGCACACACATTCTTCCCAAGAACCGGAATAAAATTTAGAATCACAACCCTTAAAAATCTGTTTCTAGTTTTCTTTGGGAAAACTCCTTAAAATTATTACACAGATAGTATTGCACTCCTCTGTAAAAGTCAAAACGTTTTCTTCTATATCACCTAATTGTTGAAGAGGTTCCAATAAACTTGGCTATGTATTATCATTTATGGTGGGAATGTCAGCTTGCGAAAGATTTTTGGAATTTAATTTGGATGGAAATGATAAACATTACTGAGGAAACTCTTGTCTGTTGCCTCAGATTAATTTTACGGAGTATTTTTGATGATTCCAATATAGATAAATAATTGCAACTCAATGGAAAACAGTCCAGAATCTTACACTGGACACTTGGTACCATTCACTCTGGAATATAGCTATAATGGAAAAAATTACGCATAATTTGAGATTTCAACAAGGCCTTTTTAAATGTTTTGGCATTCCTTTATAACATATGCAGTGGAACCATCATTTTCAAGACAGCCCTCGTCACAAGCCTGGTAAATCTAGAAGTGTACTTGATTATCTGATAATACTGGTAGTCTTTATTTGGTTTTTGTTATTTTAACTCAGGGGTCAGCAAATTTTTTCAGCAGGGGGCTGGTCCACTGTCGCTCAGACCTTGTGGGGGGCCAGACTATATTTGGGGGGTGTGAACGAATTCCTATGCCCCACAAATAACCCAGAGATGCACTTTAAATAAAAGCACACATTCTACTCATGTAAAAACACTCTGATTCCCAGACCATCTGCGGGCCAGATTTAGAAGGCGATTGGGCCGAATCCGGCCCCCGGGCCTTAGTTTGCCTACCCGTGTTTTAACCCGTGTGCAGTTTTGTTTTTCATCTTTTAATTCTTATCTGTTTAATTGTTCTCTTTCTTTTATATACATTATAAAATGAAATAAATAGATAAGTAAACTTTACACAAACAAACAAAAAACACCAAACAATTTAGGGCTTTACAGGGAGGCACCTCGAACTGAGCCCAGAAAGAAACAAGACTTCAATACAATTGATGAGAGATCACTCCAATGTGATCTAAAAAGTCTATGTTGGCGCACAATCAGACCACCTGCAGGGTGCAAGTGACACCCTTTACCCTTCTTGGCTCGCCATGGGAACAAGGAAAATGTTTCTAGACAGACTCATAATTCGGCTGTTGATCTGACAGAGATCACTTTAATCTGATAGCCCAAAGTGAATTACAACATCAAAAACAAAAGAGATTCAACGTTTTAATTATTATGGTACTGTTTAGAAATTGATACTGTAGAAAAGAGTATTTAAAAAGCCAGGTTAAATAAGCAAAAGCCGAAATAAAACAATTGCAGAGTTCACTGCACACCTCTCAAAACCAGAACTAGAGGGGGCCTCTTGCCTGCGAGGCAACGGTTACCTCTTCCCCTGCTGTCCAGTACAAGCCCGGTTGCAAACCAACACCACCAGCTTATCGCTTGCTGCTACCGCCGCTGCTGCCGCCACCCTGGTATTGGAGTTCTCCAGCCTCCCTTGGGTATACGGAGCTGTCCGAGGATGGTCAAGGCCATATTTCAAGTGATTCAGATTGCTGTTCACGTGGATTCCTGAAAGAGAGTGAAGAAGAGACTTAATGGTCAACACGCCGCAGAGAGGGATACAGGGGCACATCTGGTGAAGCCATCTGATGGCCAAGTCCAGATAACATGGAGGTCACTGGTAAATGTTTCGTGGCCTTTTCTCAACCTACGTGGAACAGAAAAGGAACAGAAGTAACACGGGGGAGCGGGGAAAGCATAACTTAACAAGGTTTTTTCTTCCCTTCCAAGAGCAGTCATGTTAAACATCTCCGGAAAGGTTGGGAGGCAAAAGGAAAACTCTTGCAGGAATCAGGCACATGCCAGACAGATGGCCCAACAGCCCAATGTACCTCTCTGGCTTAGGATCCCCTCAGGCCGGTAGATCTCTGGGGTCTCAAAGGCAAAGATGCAGTCGCTTTCCTGCACTGTGTCGAGGTCATCCAAGTCAGAGAAGGAGCGGTGGAACCCATCATAGTACATCTCAGTGAGCACGATCTGCAGGAGGCCAGAATGTAATAAGTACCTGTGTTGCAGCATTGCCGAGACCAAGTAGCAAGACTCCCAAATGCTACATACACCCCCTGGATAGATCAAAATAATACAAGGTGCCCAGAGCCCGCCTAGCTTTTCCCAGCTTCCCAAAATCCTTCCACTCAGGGGTGGGAAACTGGATCCAGTCACTTTGAGGGTTTCTACAATCATGCAGAAATAAAAGGGATCCCTGAGACACCACCACCCTCAGCCACGCATCATAAACACTGCACAGGAAGAGGTATTTGGTACATTTTAAGGTCACTGGATGCTGAACAGTGAGTGTGGTACAGCTGCAAGAATCAGCCCCAATGTCCTCAACCCTGATGTCTGGCAGGACCAACATTCACCTGTTTGGTGGGGATTTTGGTTTCCCTGGACACAGCTTCTCTCAGTCGCGCCACTGTTCCAGACAGAGGCACAGCCACCCCGATGCGCATGCAGTGGGAGCACTTCCCTCGGTACACCACTGTGATGTACAACGGCCTGCAGAGAGGACAACAAGGGCACATCTTTTTGGAGGGCAGACATTTGGGAGTTGGACGAGGAGGCAAATCTGCTGAGGTTCAGCAAGGTGGGTGGGGTGGAACAGGACTAATGCACACATGGACATTCTGGGCCCAGCTGCAGCTCACTCTCCACAGGCTGCAAGAACTTTAGCTCATTGAAGTTGAGCTAAAGTTCTTTAAAATGCATTTAAAAAAAAAAAGAACTTTAGCTCATTCATTCATTCATATGCTGCTTTTCCACACACACCCAAAATGCTACTCAAAGCGGCTTCCAACAAAGAAAACAGGAAAGCACTTTAAAACCAAAGAGTGCAAAACAATTTCATAATAACAAAGCAAAACACCACAATAGCAAATTTAATTACATACAAAAAAAGATAAACACTTTTCACTATTATAAATGTAACAAGGTTATGTAAACAACATCCAGCATCCAATGGCAAAAATCAGAGTTTCACCCTGGTCCTAGAAATACCGCCTGCCCTGATGTTGCTCACAGTCCCTCTCCTGCAGCAGATTCTTATAAGGGTTCGAGGATAGCGGGGTAGGGGAACTGGAAACACCCCTCCCTTGCTTGCTCGCTCAGCACCAAGCAGCAGATTTGCAGTATATTGCTATAGCTTGAGGTCAATCCACATTTAAACAGTGAGGGTTCCTTCCCCACCCTCACCCCCAAATTTAACTGTGGGTCCTCAAGACTCTTAAAGAATCTGTGAGCTATACAGGAAATAATTTGGCCACCTGAACCAGAGGTTCCACATCCCTGGTGTGCAGGAAAGCGCCAATGAGTGAGCAAGGTACACTGTTCCTCCCCGCTCCTTTTCCCATGGCAAGGGACACATACCGTGTGTGAGGCAGGGGGATTGGCAGAGAGATGCACAGGAACGGGTCGAAGGTATTACTCTGCTTCTGGCAATGAGGACACGTCAAGGATGACCTGCCAGGTAACAAGGGAACAGAAGCCTCATTTAGGACACAGTACAGCAGCCCCCCTCTCCGTAGAAGTGATAATCAGAGGCCACCCAACTCCCGAATTCCCTTGCAATTAGAGCCTGGAAAAAACACAGCATTCAAGCAAAATGTGACGATATCACTGGACCTTCCATTCCCCCACCTCCACCTCTCGCAATGAGCAAGATTAAGATCTGGCTCCCATAAGGTGAATATGCTCTTCCACACAATATTAAAAAAGAAAGAAAGATGTCAGGCAGGTTTGTAGTCATGCCTTCTCTCCGACAAGCTATTCTTCCGGGTGCAGAGATTTATTCACTTTTCATTGAAGAAGCATTAAATCACATGGCAGCTGAGAAACAGATTCACCTCCTCAGCTGTTGAGAACTGGGCCCAAGAGGCCACACTGGAAAGCTGAGCCCCACACCTGCTGCCCCAAGACCTTGTTTCTCAGCCCCAAGGAAAAGCACCCAACTCACAAACCCCAGGGCAGGCAGGGTGAATCAGGGAATGAAACAGATGTTCATCCCAGAAGGTGGTTATGCTCCGTGGAGAACAAAGAGGCTTCCTCCTTGTCCCAGGAGCCCTGCGAGTGTCTCTGCCCCAGCAAACCAGACACAGAGCAAAGTGATGCTGACAGCCAGGCAAGGGGTGCCATACCTGTATTGGGCCTGAAAGAGTTCCTGGACAAAAGTGCTATTGATTGGAAATGCAGGTCCTTCAATCAGCACTTCATCTTCCAAAGGCGGCTGGAAGAAAAAAAGCATTTTGTAAGAGAGGTGTTCAGGCATGTGCTGGGGGAATCACACGCTATGGTGGGCGTGTGAGCATGCACACATGCAGAAATTCTGCCCCCAAGTAAGAAACCTATGCACATCTGGAAAGAGCTGCAGAATACTTTCCACTCAGAATGCACCTAGCACAGCCCTGGGACTTCAGTGGCAAGATGGGACTCATCTAAGTATTTCTGGGCCCGTAACTCCTTCGACATCTGACTCCTCTGGAGTAGTAGATGCACAGGCATGCAAAGTGTCAGCTGAGGACTCCCTGGGCCACCGCCAGCATGCCCTGAAGACGCGCCTCACCTTCAGAGGTCTGCCATTGTTCTTCACTATGTTGTTGAGGTCCTCGTGAACTCGGTCCAGGAGCCAGAGGAGGAACTCCTGAGCGTCGTGCTGTGAGCTCCCTCGATACTGCATGGCATTCTTGGAAACGATGCTCTGTGGAGAAGCAGCAGAGCAGCTCAGCAGCTGCACCAAACCCCTAGGAAACACCCACCCTCACAGCTCTCCGCAACGGAGCAAAAATGAATATATATGTCACCACCAGATGACACTGTTGTGTTTCAGCTCAAGGAAAACTGCAGTTGGGTGAATTTTTGTTCTTCTCTAAGACCAGCTAGCAGGGAAAGATGTTGCTCTCTGGCTCAGTAAGTTCTTCCAGAGGGAGGTGAGGCATCCCTATTAAATCCCCAGTTGTCTTCCATCCAAGACAAGAGAAACTGAGAACCCAAATAGTCTTTGTTTCCTGTGGAAGGGCCAGAGTTCCACCCTCTCCAAGGGAACACAGATGCTGCTCACAGGGAAAGATAAATACATGCATCCCTTTGATCAAAGCAGATAAGAGAAGCCCAGTGTGGGGTGGGGGACTGGATCTAGCAAGGGGGTCAGATGAGACAGGTGGGGGCTTTACACTTGTCAATTGGCTGGCATCAGGTGGCTTTTTTGGTCCACAGGGGTCTGGCAAAGGCAGCACTTTGAAAGAGCTTCTGAAGAGCCAACAGACAGTTGACCTGACACCTACTGGTCTTGCTCTCATTAATGGATTACCTGAGGAAAGGCTCTTTCCCTTTTTGCAAGGCAGCAGAATACCTGTACAGTGTACACAAATAATTATGACAGCTCTTCTGGAGGAAAAAAGCTCCCTTTATTCAAAATAGACCTAAAGCAATTTAAGTATCCTCCCCCCCCCCCAATAATTGTATGCGTTGTTCTCTTTGCTTGCCCCCAAGTGAAACTGGACCCATAAGAAACTGGTGCCACCTAAGAAAAAGCAAATTCTGCTTTCCTGCATTAACAGTGGCTTCTTATTTATTTATTTTTTTAAAAGAGAGATTTGTTATTCATGTGACTTATTACTGGAGGCTTTTGCTACCAGTTGCCAGAATCAAATTCCTTGGTCACCTCTGGCACCTATGTTTAGAGACCCCTGGAGATAAACATCGACAGCTGCCAAGATTAAAAGCTACACCATAACTCAATGTGCTAATCTACTTTCCAGCCATGCTATCAGGAGATGGAATACTTCACATAAGTTTGAGGTAATCCATCGTTCTCCATCCTCCTCCTGTACTTTCTAAAATACATGGGTTTAAGATGGTTAACACAGATCCCAAGAGATTAGCAACTCTTTGTTAGGCAGACCTGATTCCCACCAAGTCTGGAAAAGCAGCCACTTCCCTCTCCTCCCAAAGCTGCTTCTCTCTCTGCATTTCTCAGCAGCCTCTCATTCAGCCCTGGCCTCCATGCATGTAGGCACATGCTCCCCTTTCACACTTGGCCAGCAGTGAATTTCCCACGTGGGGGTTCCGTATTCAAGTACCACAAACGCAAGAGCCAGCCCCCACAGAATGGCCTGGCCATTCATAAACACAACTGAAATCCAAAGCTCCAGACTAGGCTGCCTGTGTAGTGACACAACAGCAACAGCCCAGCAAGTTGCAAGAGACATCCATTCTTCCTACTATCCACTGACCCCCTGGAAAACAGCATTTTAAAGAGTACGTGAAGTAGAAAGTTAGCTATGGGCAGCTTTACAAATTGTGTGGCAAATGTATGTTTGATATATGTAGTCCAGGGTTTTAGGTAACAAATATGTATGGTGGGGGGCCTCTGACACAGACACACATGTTGCTGCTTATGGAAATGGGGTCGGGGTCCCCAAATACAGGCACACACTGTTTTGCTGACCTGCTTACTGCAGAAAATACAGGTGACTAACAGGGTTCCTGTTTCAACTTCAACCCACGCAATCAATTTCCAAACCTAGAAGTGCTTTTGGACTCAAGTATGTTTCCTGAACATATGTTCAGGAAGTATGTTTGGGACGTGGGTGGCACTGTGGGTAAAACCTCAGCGCCTAGGACTTGCCTATCGTATGGTCGGCGGTTCGAATCCCCACGGCGGGGTGAGCTCCCGTCGTTCGGTCCCAGCTCCTGCCCACCTAGCAGTTCGAAAGCACCCTTAAGTGCAAGTAGATAAATAGATACCGCTTTATAGCGGGAAGGTAAACGGCGTTTCCGTGTGCTGCGCTGGTGCAGGCTCGCCAGAGCAGCTTCGTCACGCTGGCCACGTGACCCGGAAGTGTCTCCGGACAGCACTGGCCCCCGGCCTCTTAAGCGAGATGGGCGCGCAACCCCAGAGTCGGTCACGACTGGCCCGTACGGGCAGGGGTACCTTTACCTTTTATGTTTCCTGAAATGTGGCCCTTTCAGGCTCTTTTAACACAAAACCAGCCCAATGAAGGCCACTTCAGGTGAATGGATATTCATGCTAACTCAGTCTCCCTCAGCTACCAGATAGGGATAATATGGGGAGTTACTCGACCTCTAACCCAACCCACAGAGAGCAGAGTCCAACACAACACAGTAACACAAAGGAATTTCATTGGCTGCTCTGGAATTCACACTTAAGCAGCGATATGATCCTGTTCACAAGACTGAACGCAATACAAACACCGAGGCACACCCAATCAGCTGCTGGAAAACAAGACAGGAGACAAAGGAAAAGTATTACAGTCCTGGATCATCCAGCTCAAGATAATTCCTTCCAGTGGACTAAACTCAATGGGTGGTGGGACCTGTAATCCTTAAAAAAAACAAGCCTCCCTGCCCACAACTCACAACTACAACCCCCACATAGGTTGAGGATGCTTTTGTATCACATTATTAAAATTAATCTTCCTACATCACAGCCAATGCAAATCAGACATTACAATCTGGTCATGCAAGCAGAACATCTGTAATAGAAGCTGCCTGCTGCCCCACTCCCCCCAATCAGTTGAGGGCTTAGCCCCAAGACAGATAATATCCTCTTTAATGGACATTTTTCACCAGATCTGAGCCCCTTGGTAGCCATTATTCTCAACATCACTCCAAGGCTTCCCAAAACAGCTAAAGAGAAGGGGCGGTGTGCATGTCCCAGTTTATTGAAGGCTGCATGCCTTGCACATGGCCCAGCAAAGTCATAGGAATGCCCCCTCCTGGATGACATTGCAAGAAGGATCTGGAGGTTGGCAAAGGGTAGAAGGAATGGAATGGGGGGAAAGGTTTTGAAGCCTTCCAAAGCGGAGCACAGAGGAAGAGTAAAAGGGGCACCTCCAGATAACCTATTTATTGGACATTCATCCTGGTTTCCTTGCAGAAGATTTGCATGGAGAATAGATTATATCTAATCTAAGCATTCATTCCTCCTTGTTTGCAGAGCAGTTGGTCCACAATGAGTACTCATCCTGAATCTATCCTCCTTTTCCTTGTGGGATGCATATACATCTTTCTTCATTCCTCCTGCACTTTACAATGCATTTTCCTGCAAAAAGTCAACGGTTGTCATCTTTTTTTAAAAAAAAGTTAATTTGCTGCGCTTAAAACCACTTCAGTTGCACAAACCTAAATTTCCTAACATTCCCCCCCCCCAAAAAAAAATACTAACCATCTGGAGTCACCCAAAGATTGACCCTTTCCACAGCAGTAAGGAGCATCAGCCTCAAAACATAACCTTTTTTTTCAGGGGTCAGCTTTACCTGTCCTGTAAGCAATAAGTCAGATACAACTAAGTTGTACTTTCTAAGCTTTCTTCTGTCACCATCAGCCCTAGAAGCTTGCTATCAAAAAAAAGGAAGCCGATATTCAGCACGCAATGTCTCTGCTTTGCTCATGCTGTAGCACACAGCATCTAATGGGATGATACTGCTGACATCCCAGGTGCTCATAGTGAGGTGACTGCTCAAGCCTGCCTATCTAAAGAGAGAGAGAAAGAAAGTTGCCAGGTGACAGGGGAAAGGAGAATGTAGTTGGAGGCCAGGGAAACAAGAGGAGCTTGGCCACTAGGATCACTGATCTCTCAATGCCTCCTGCCACTCAACCACAAACCAGGCACCTCCCAAGTGTGACAATCAGCTCCAAAGGGGGAAAGAATTTGCTGTTGCCTCTCTAGCACTAAGCACCAACGTAATGAAAAGTCATCTGCAGGTGTGAATTACAAAAAAGCACAGGATGGCTGTTCAAGGCTAAATTTAGACTTTGCTTGCAACTTTGCTGAGAACAGACAATTCAATTTGTGTGTTTTTAAAAGGGTTGTTCCACCTTTTTTGTGCTGTTATCTATTCCAGTCCCAGAAACAAGCCAGTGACCAGATTTTAGTCAAGTATCAACTGTGCACAACTGGGAGCCTAACTGCTGTGCTTTGGCTGCCAAACTACCATGTGGCCAAGATAGGTGACATCAGCTATAGCTCAGAGATCCCCTCAGAGATCACAGCTCTCATTAGCAAAAGCTTTTAGGCCAGTTTGGCACAGCAACATCCAGCCACAGTTGCTGAAACGCATCGATTTCTGTTGGCCTCCTAATCTTTGGCAATCTCTGAGTCGTTCCATTTGCTTTTGGAGATACCAGTGTATCTCACAGCAAAGCTTGCTAATACCAACACAACGTTGCTTCCCAACACTTATAACAAGTTCCTGGAGCTGTGCTGCCTCAGCCACTGTGCTGAAAACGTAAGTTTATCCCCAAAGAAGACCAAATCTAAAAGCAGCTGCCTGGCCTCAAGAAGCAGCCATGACTTGATCCCAGGAGTGACTTCTTTGCAGAGGAAAGGCAAAGCACAAAGAGTACCCAGGCTGTAGTTCATTGGCTACTAGCCACAATGGCTACTTTCTACCTCCACTGTCAGAGGTAATGTACCTCTGAATACCAGCTGCTGGCAACCACAGGAGGGGAGAGCTGCTCCTGGGCTCATGTAGATGGAAGTCTTCCTCCAACATTGCTCCAGCAGTTGTCTCTCCTGTTTCCTTCTTTTATTAGGACAATTAAGCTTATTTGGCTGTAAAAAACAGGGGAGGATGCTCAGGGACAACTGTGTCCACTGTCTGGGTCATCCCCCTCCCCCCCCCCATTCCAGAAGTCAAGAGGATCACCTGCCAAGGAAAGCCCAGGAGCCCTATG